GCACAAATGATGGGTGTGTTGGCCGCTGTTTTAATTTATTTACAACTGGTTCACCGGTTCTTCTGTGTCTGGCCTCGGACATTTTTGCTCTCACGCGCCTAAAAATGTCCCCGTTTCGGTGTTTTCGTCCATCAATGTACTGCATTATGTTCATATCACGCAACGTCAACAACATAAACGCCGTTTTCTCAGCTCCCCAAAAATGCGACGGTCGCTTCTCCGCCATCGTTTTTAATCTGCGTATTGTGCGTGCCACGTCAGTGTGTGTACCAGTGTGAGTAGAGCCCGACCGATATGGGTTTTTTTGGGCCGATACCGATATTAGGGGATATACCATACTTTCCTTTGAGAACTGATGTTTTGTGATTAAATGAACTTGTACGAAGGAGCTGATGGATTAGTGGTTTAGACTCAGGGCAGGTTCGAGCCCCACATGATTCATCATTGCTGTGCCCTGGCATCCAGGTTGTTCCAGGGTAATTTTTACGGTAGCAATGTCATATGTGACCTGCTTCATAATTTCGAGTCATTTGGAAACAAATTTGGAAAAGTTTTTGCTTTCTAATAATATAATTATCTTCATATTCCAAACTTTGTCAAGATATAACTTATATAGTGATTGTCATTAGAGCCCGACCGATATGGGTTTTTTTGGGCCGATACCGATATTAGGGAGTAAAAAAGGGCCGATATCGATATATAGGCCGATATTCTTTGCTTATATTATAGTACAGTACCAGTCAAAAGTTTGGACACTTTATTAGATCAAAAGGGTGCTTCTACTAAATACTGAGCAAAGGGTCTGAATACTTAGGACCATGTGATATTTCAGTTTTTCTTTTTTAATAAATCTGCAACAATGTCAACGATTCTGTGTTTTTCTGTCAATATGGGGTGCTGTGTGTACATTAATGAGGAAAAAAAATTAACTTAAATGATTTTAGCAAATGGCTGCAATATAACAAAGAGTGAAAAATTTAAGGGGGTCTGAATACTTTCCGTACCCACTGTACATAAACAGAATATATATACATAAACACATTTTTTGCAATGATCACTCAAATGTGGTGATGAAACACTTTGACGTGACAGAGATATGTAATGGAGGAAGTGGAGGATTTAATCTAGCGGGTCTAGTGTCTTGTGTCGCAAGTTCAATGACGCAGGTAGTGACGATTCTCTCCGGCAAATCAGTGATCAGCAGGGTTTACACACGTCACATTTTGGTAACGGTACGGCTCGCTTGGAACCTCGGCCGAGGTGATACTGAAAAAGGTACCAGGTACTGTACACAGTGGAAAACACCCAAAAAGCGAGCTGTGCCGTGCTGTACCATGCAGCGGAAAAGCGCCATAAGTTCGCAAATTCAATAGTGAAAGTGAAGGTGTCCGAAGCCCGGCTTATAGCAAAAAGAGGAACTTCCGTTCACAAAATTCAAATCACAAATAATACTGATGAAAAAGAATGAGTTGAATGTTAATCCCACTTACGCCAACGACATGGTCTGTGCCCAATTTATAGCAGTGACAGCAGACAATCTCTGAAAAAAGACTGCTGATAAAATTTCCTCAGCACACTCACTATCTATCGTTTCTGATTGATGGTGATACGGACATCTCCACCAAAGAATGTGAGATTGTCTATGCCCGTGTCATTAATATTGTAAGACCTACCAACATCCTAATTGGTCACATTGACATTCAACTCGCCTATGCAGAAGGTAAAGTGAGATTTCTGATTTTTGTTACCATATAACTATAAACTATGATAACTGAAAAACTATTCATCAGCATACATTGATCAATCTCATGATGTAGAAAAAAAAAAGGTGCGACCAAGTCATGTGCTCGTGTGACCAGCTGAGAAAGTTCGTTGCACCAGTGCGACCAGTGGGAATGAGTCTAGAGCCCTGGTCCTGGAGCAGTTTTAGTGCGCTAGTGGAGATCTCTCTACTATGTAAAAGTTTGGAGTCAGTAAGATATTTTTGATGCTTTTGAAGGAAATCTATTATGATCACAATGTCTGCATTTATTTGATCAGAAATACACTAAAAACAGTAAAAATTTGAAATATTACAAAAATAACAGCTTTCTATTTTAATATTTTACAATGTATTTTATTCCTTTGATGTCAAAGCTGAATTTTCAGCATCATTACTCCAGGCTTCAGTGTCACATGATCCTTCAGAAATCATTTCTTATTATTATCAATGTTGCAAACAGCTGTGCTGTGTAATACTTTTTGTGGAAACTGATACATTTTCAGTGAAATGTCAAATAGCACAGTATTCTTATTTTTGGCCCATATTACAATATACACATTTTTAAGTAACAAACTTCTGAGAAAAAAAAAAAGTTAGATCCTTACTTCATCTAATTTATTACACATTTGAATGTATTTGCAAGAGTTGACCAATTTTAAAGGGGTCATATGATGATGCTAAAAAGAAAGTTTTTTTGTGTATTTGGTGTAATGAAATGTTTATGCGGTTTAAGGTTCAAAAAAACATTATTTTCCACATACTGTACATTATTGTTTCTCCTCTATGCCCCGCCTTTCTGAAACGCGTCGATTTTTACAAAGCTCATCGGTCTGAAAAAGCGAGGTGTGCTCTGATTGGCCAGCTATCCAGTGCGTTGTGATTGGCCAAATTCCTCAAGCGTGTGACGGAAATGTTACGTCCCTCACCATATTGTGATGCCTGCGGCAACCTCATGTTATCGACCCCGGGCTGGACTCCGCTTCGTCCACGGTGAAAGCCGATCCGGCGATCAACAGCGCGAAGTTGAAGTATTTCCTCAGCGACCAGCATGGATCAGCTCCAGGCATGACGAAGTGGATATCGTCCTCTTTTGGGAGGCCAAAATAAAAGTAGTTTCAAGAGCTTGTAACACTCCAAAGAGAAAGGAAAAATTGAAATCGCATCATATGACCCCTTTAACCACTTTATCGTTTAAATTAGAAGCACACCTCTCTAGTTTTGCCCGCTATATTGCCAACCCCTAATTTTGTAAAAGTGTTCAAATAAAATATTAGCTATCGGTATCTGCCTCAAATTTCCTGATGGGTGCATCCCCACTATTTATGATTGTCTTCTGACTCTGATTATTTTGTTTCATGCTTTTATGTGTATATACTAGTGCATATTTGATTTGATTAGATCAATATGAAAGCCATCCTGTACATTCATCAGCAGAAAACATGCTGGCTGCAGGCCATCCTTTACCTCCATTACTGTCCTCCTCCTCTCATCACTCTCAGAGCTTCTCCTCTGGCATTGCATAAGATCTCCCAATCAAACACTCCTACTTCAGACTGCAGGCCTGGTGCAGGATGTTGAGGTTCATGGCCTGCAACTATTCTGGAAATCCTGCTATCCTCTGCCAGCTTAAAGCATTGTGGAAAGAATTCACTTGAGTCAGCAGGGTAAACGAAATGACACGTTTCATACTTGCACACAGGACATCATCTCTCAAAGAAATTGATAATGAAATCATCTGACAATAGATGTTATTTTGTTTGTATTTGTTTGTTATTATTTGTCATTTCAGTCATTGTGCCCTTTGTGTTTGGTGACATGTGAAAGGGAAGTTAGAATGTTCTGATGGAGCTGCTGCAGTGCAGCTCTCTGTGGATCGCATTTATTATAGATTCACTGAAGCTGTCATCTGTGCCCCAGATTTTAGTCCTTCGTTTTCATTCTGTCCCCATCGCTGATCAAAAGTGGATCAATCCCCCGTCCTTTCCTCGTTACCCTGTGCTGTCCATCTCGATGGACAGGGTCTGTTTAACAAAAACCACTGTCAGACCTAATATGTCTTCTGTGTGATATTTAAAATTAGAAATTACAGCTGTTTTACTGATTCAGATATTTCAGGACCACTTGTTGGAGTTTGAGTTAGCCTGATGCATGCGCAAGTTGCATAACATTTGCTGTCTAAATGTTTTTTTCCTTGCTGCTAGTAAAACATACAAAATAAAACTTAGTATGACTTTGCAAAAGAGGCAAAACAATCATATCTATTTTTCAGCCTATCTTCTCTTTGTATATTTTCTCTGTAATGGCTTGATGGGAGAAAAAAACACAATAGCTATTAACAAAATGCTAAATACATTTAAAATAAGCAAGAAACAAAATGCAGTAAAAAGTTAATCAACTGTTTTCAACAGTATTTTTTGCTTAGTGAATAGTTAAATGTAAACATCTTTATTTATGTGAACCCAAAAAAAAAACAGTTTCCACAAAATATTAAGCAGCTCAGCTGTTTTTAATATTAATGATAATAATAAATGTTTCTTGACCAGCAAATCTGTATATTAGAATGATTTCTGAAGGATCATGTGACACTGAAGACTGGAGTAATGATGCTGAAAATACAGCTTTGCTGTTACCAAAATAAATGGCATTAAAATGTAAAACATTATTTTATAACGTTATTTTAGGTTGTAATATTTCACAAAATTATGCTTTTTACTGTATATTTAATCAAATTAATGCAGATGAGTATTAGAGATTTCTGTCAGAAACACAAAAAAAACTTGCCAATCCAGAACTTTTAAATGGCAACTTATATAGTCAGCAAATCATTGTGATTATATTTTGAATATTCAGTATATCGCTCATCCCCAGTACTTGGTCACCTGATTCCAGTCCAGCCATTATGACCCGCTCATAATTGCAGCAGTGTGTTGCCTTGGCAGAACAGTGCTATTTTCCACAAGCTCATGCAGGGACACACAGATCACAACACACAGACAGACAAATGAGGTTCACAATCAAGGGGAGAGGAAGGTGTAAATGAAAATGTGGGGGACCAGAGAGCCTCCCAAATAGGAGCTCTGTTTAAACTGTGTGTTGGTGTGAAATAGCACAGTAAGAGATCTGGAAATCTTTCGTTGGAGGTTTGCAGGTTGGTTTGATTGACCGTTTTGCCTGCTGCACATCTCCTGCCTGACAGGTGTCATTTAGGCTGTTTTGTTTATTGTGTCTCCAATTCCAGATGCCCCACCCATGGATCGAGAAGAACTGTTTGTCCAGAAACTGCGGCAGTGCTGCGTGCTTTTCGACTTTGTGACTGATCCACTAAGTGATCTCAAGTACAAAGAGGTGAAGCGAGCCGGCCTCAATGAAATGGTGGAGTACATCACACACAACCGCGACGTGGTCACAGAGTCCATCTACCCTGAAGCTGTCATCATGGTGAGGGGGCACAAATATATCCTAAGCACACACACATCAACTCATCCCCATTGCTTTTCATACATGATGCCTGTGCATGTAAGCAATTTGTGGCTTAGTTCACACCATGCTATCACTCTTGAGTGCACAACTCTGATTTTAAAAAAAGTACCGCATTTCAAAAATCACTTGGCAGTTTTCTCAAATGTAATAATCGTTTTTTTTTTTTTTATATGGAATATTGCCCCTTTAATTTAGTTTCCATGGCAACATTAATCCTCTCCTACCATCTTGAGATCCCTCAATTGTGAGCATAGTAGGTGATGCATCAGCTGCACTGCATTGTGTGATTCACCTTTCACGTGAGTCACAAGAACTCATTCGGAGTTACGAGGCATGGAGGATTCAGAGTTATTGTACATTAAAACTGTGATGCAACCTATAATCTAGAAAAAATATTCGTAAACATGTTGTGATTCTTCATTTGACACCTGCGGAGTTGTCACAAGTAATTTTGTCTAGCTGAGTACTTGACAGGGTCCATTTGGTTCCTGTACTGCACACACATCTTTTGTGCAGTTTTAGGCCTGTGAACAGTACACGTGCATGTCAAACATTAGCTTCCACTACTACTTTATATGTATTTCTTTCCTTTTGACCCACATATACATTGGTTAGCTGATTCTCATCTGGTCAGAAGCTAATGGGACAAAACATGTGGCAAGTACACTCCCCTGCTTATCAGGATCCTGGATTATCACATCCTCTGTGACCAATTGACAGTAATGGCTTTTGCCTGACCGACGCACAGGTGATTACTAGCCAGACCCAGGATAAAATCTGCTCAAGTGTAAATGTACACCAGGGAATTATGTGTAATTAGCCATCATAAATCAAGGCTTAGACACCTGCGTTTCCTTGCAGCCATTCATAATTCAGAGAGGAGATCTGCTGTGTCCCAAATAGGACTCAGCGATATAGCAAAAAAAAAAAAAAAAAGAATATTTTTGTTTTCACTGAAATAAAATAGTTTAAAAGTTTTTTTTTTTTTTAACTAAGTGCAAATAAAGCATTATATTTAACTATTTTCTTTTATATTCACCAATACAAAGATACATTAATACACAGCAATATTTAAATAAATGGACATGTAGGGAAATGCTACTAACACAGGCTTTAAGAAACTTAATGGCCAAAAAAAGCGCAATAAAGTCATTGTGATGCATTGTGATATAAAATTATCTGGGTTATATTGTGAACATTTAATATATGAGAGCCATAATCCCAATAATAAATCTTGCGACTGTATTGTAAGATAGTCGCAATTAGGGGTGCTCCGATTGATCGGCTACCGATTATGCACACTCGCAGCGCACACACATAATGCCAAGTTCACATTATTCCGTTTGCAGTGCATACGTGGTACGTATATTTTACGCGCTCATGTTAACGGATTAAAGCGTTCACCCTGCACACGGTTACTGTCCGGCAGTGCGTCCCAGGAGTGGTGCGTCTGGCAATAATAGATGGCACTTGAGGAGGAAGGAAAATGAAGTTCTTTATGAACCGCAGAATTGCTTGTAATAAAGATTTAGGGTGCTTTCACACCTGGCCCGTTGTTTCGGAACCTGGCGCATTATCCCCCTTAGCTCGGTTCGTTTGGGCATATGTGAACACGGCAATCACGCTCGGATCCGCACCAAAACAATCGGTCCGAGATCGCCTGAACGAGGTGGTCTTGGCTCGATTGAAAACGAACTCTGGAGCGGTTCGGTTGTAGTGAGAAAGCAATCCGATCTAACGGACCAACGAACCAGGCTATATCACAGTGTATAATGGGTAATTACATAAGTTCCGTCAAAATAATTAGCTTTGTTGTTTTGCTAATACTTCAAAATGAACATGTGAATGTCTGTGGGTGAGCACGTCTTCGCCATTCAAAATAAAAAAGCACACTTTCATTTTATAATGCCGTCTTATTGCTCTTCTTCCTAGTAGGTGCATTTTAAAAATGTTTTCACGATGAATCCTGGACTCCTGCTCAAAATGATAAATTGATATAAGGGCAGCTACAAAAAAAAACAAACAAAAAAAAAAACAATAAGCCCGCAAAGCTGTTGTCGTTCCATCCTGACAGATGACAGCCGTGACAGTGGAAGTGGAATCCCGGAAAATAAACCGTGGAACTTTGACCAATGAGAGAACAGTTTACTCGCACGTGACTTGTATTAAAAAATTTGGTTCGTTTAGAAACTTTGCCGTGTGAAAGTGAACCGCACCAAGAATAAAAAGCAACATTGTAATAATTTGAATCCCTGTTTCGGAACAAAGCAATCGATCTACAGGTGTGAAAGCACCCTAAGTGCTATCAAATGCATGTGTTCAATTAATGGTTGGAATTTGGAGGTGATAAAAGTATGTCAAGTACACCAAATGTTTACAATCAATTTCTTAGCTGTTTTCACTGCAGATTGTTGCACCATTATTTGTTTTAACATTCTTGTTGAACTTGAATGAAAGATGTATGGTTGCATCCTGGTCTGTTATGGTAGCAACGTCAGAAGACCTCGTCAATATATCTATTTCTTAACGACACACAGTGTGTTAACACGTAGGGCCACCAGTGTTAAGCTGGTCGGCAGGGTAGCCCAGGA